CTATTATGTTAGAATCACTTATCACTGTATTCCAAAAGCAACTACCATTTTACAACTTCTTAGCATTTTGACCCCATACAATTCAAAATTGAAACAGTATGAAGGGATTCAAAGGGTAGTTCTTAATATTTCGTTGATGAAATGACAAAAGGAAAGAAAGTATGTTGTAGAAAGAGGCAGAGAAATCCAACTTAGGACATTTATGACTTATTTTGGGAGAAAAAGAGCCCACCCACTCCTCTTTGATCCTGCTAAGTAAGATCAAAGGACCGAACAAAATGCAGTTAAGTTTCTAAAATTATTTACATTCTGGAAGAATATCAGAGAAATTGCCTTAGCTATGTAGTTGGTAATATTTTGTAAAGACATGAAGCCTGAATTTCACTTTCTGAATAACTACCAGACTCGAGAGGAGCACAGGAAAGGAAATACCTTTATTTCAGAGAATCAAAACCTTAACAAGAGTCTTAAAACAACTTTGCTACGGTGATCTAATCACCATATGTTGTGTGGAAAAGACCATGCCTTGTCCCTGGAATTTACTCTACTTAGACATTTTGCTCATTATGAGCTCTTAGTATGTTTGGGGCACTTGACAAGTGGGGGAAGAGGAATCCTGTTTAGTACATGGAGTTCTAATCACTGTATCTTCAAAGCTCATAGGAAAGGAAGGAATGGCAACGTTCAAGAGTGCAAACCCTCGCCCTTTCCTCATATTCTGTAATGATTGTTTTGAGCCATAGGAAACCTTTCCTATGAATTTTAATGGGGAGAAGGAGCAGGGCAATCCTGAGACTAAGGGATGGGGACACCAAAAGCCAAGTCTGTTCCAGGACAGTGGCAGAAGTTCTGTAAAATGAGGCGTCCATCGCCACTCACAAACTAAGTCTCTATGTCTGTTTCCCAAAGTGTTCACAGGAGCGGGTTAACGACCAGCAACTCCGATCTGAGTGCGATCTCAGACCCTAGTTCCTCTGTGCGCCGGGTATGCGAGAATCTACAGCAAGTGCGCGCGCTGGGTGGGCTGCAGAAGAGCTGAGCTGTTTACTTCTGAATTCATTGAAGTCTTTCTCCTGGAAGCTGAGCAAAGCCAACTACTAGCCCCGGCGAGTTTGGGAGCAATTTGCAAGTGGAATTGGAGCTGCCACCTCACTTTCCTCCATTGAGCCCGGGTGCAGGGTGACGGGAGGGGGATGGGAAGGCTTGTTCAGGAGTCCCGCTTTGTGTTCCCAACCCGACACTCGTGGAGTGTGGAGGGGATGTGTTCGTAGCGTAGGCCACTTTGAGAGCTCTGCGTGACAATTGGACCTTCTCTCGTCAGACTGCGAAGCAAGAAGCGGAGGCACCACACCGCCCCCTTTTCGGGCTTGATTTCCATTCACCAGCCAGCCCTGAACGGCCTCAGGTAGTCGGAGGCCGGCCAGGGAGTCTCCACCTCCTCGCCGACAGCAGCCATTCGGTGCGCTTGGGCGCCGAGGGGTTGGGGCCCATTGGCTGGGGGACGCTGCCAGTCTCGGGAGGGGGTGTGATGGGGGTGGGGTCTCGGGCCACCGCGGGTCGGTGCTGCTCACTGTTTGCTGGGTGGTGGGTGAGCTTGAGCGGGAGCCGGGCTTCAGGAGACTTGCTAACAGTTCCCAGCGAGCGAGAGTGCGCCAGAGAGAGAAAAGCGAGAGCGAGGGAGTGAGTGCGAGGGAACCTAGAGGAGTCAGGGCGAGAAAGCGAGGACCCGAGGACCCACGATTGAGACAGAGTGACCATGGCTGTCTCCGCACCTCCCGTGATCTCTGCAACTTCCAGCGGTGCCGGCGTCCCAGGGGGCTTGTTTCGGGCCGAACTCCCGTACTCGACTCCGAGAGAACCCCCTCGTCTCACCCCCAATATGATCAACAGTTTCATGGCCAACAACCACAGCGGCAGCGCCGGGGGCGGCGGGGTCTGTAGTGGCAGCAGCAGCAGCGGCAACACCAACACCAACGAGTGCCGGATGGTCGACATGCACGGGGTGAAGGTGGCTTCGTTCCTGATGGACGGCCAGGAATTGATCTGCCTGCCGCAAGTCTTTGATCTTTTTCTCAAGCACCTGGTAGGGGGGTTGCACACAGTGTACACCAAGCTGAAGAGACTGGACATATCCCCCGTGGTGTGTACTGTTGAACAGGTCCGGATCCTCCGCGGGCTGGGGGCCATCCAGCCCGGGGTGAACCGCTGCAAACTCATTACCAGGAAAGACTTCGAAACTTTGTTCACAGATTGCACCAATGCCAGGTGAGACACTCGCTTCTTGGCTCGCTTCTCTTACCCCTTCGCCCTCTTCTGCATGTCTCATCACCCTCATCCAACTTTGTAGAGAGTGAATCTTGACTAGCTTGCCTCTGCTCTTAACGCTCTAAATCGGTGGGGAAAGAGGACTAGAAGGACTCATTAATTGACAGTCCCTTCTAGTCCGCGCTCAGTGGTAGGGCTTGGGTCTAAAACAGTCCCGCACAAACTTCAGTTTGCAGTCCTCTACTGAAACTTTCCAGCCTTTCGCCCATATCTTGCATGGCTTTTTGGCTGCTTGTGGTTATTTGTTAATTTCTCTATTTGGTTTTCTTTCCTGTTCTTTTGTGGCCGTACGGGTCGGTTAGGTTTTCTCCTGAACACGGACACCAAAGGCTTCCTTGGGGGGCTGGCTGAGCTATAAACTGGGCTCCTAAGCTGGCAACCCAGAACACAGCATTTGGGGTATTCAGGGGGTCGGAAGATTAGAATCCATCCCAGAGGGTGATTCGGC